ACACATCTGCTGAGACACAGATAAATAAAGGTAATATTGAATTAGAAATAATTTCTTTTATCCAGTTGAGTGTCTAAAATTGCATGAGCATCTTTTAAATTATTTCTTAGTATCTCTAATACATTCTGTAATAGCTCTAAAGTCTAATGTCACATTAGGATATATACTTACATACAGATAAAAAACAAATTACAGCTTGAAAAAAACTATCACCTGAAGAAATGGGGGAAAAAAAATACCTCAACTTATAACATTAAACAATCCAGTAACTCTTCCAAATAGAACAGTTCCCTGTTACAGTTGAAAACAAGGTTCAGATCATCCAGAGGACCAAAATATCTTTAATAACCTCGACTTGACTGCCCTTGCAATCACTATCACAATTAAAACCTGCTTTAGCAGTTAGATAATCAGAGATAAAGGCTCAATCCTACAGAGCTCAAACTTCAATCCCATTAAAAAGACACTTCCATTTGGAGCAGGCGTACAGCTGCTCATGCTCACAGGCAAGGGAAAGTTAGGGATAGGGAAGCAGAGAAACAGCACAGATACCAGATCCATAGGATGGGAAGAATCAGCTGGCATGGCACTTTAGGGCATAAAAATCACATGAAGAGGACTATATTGCAGATCTAGCTACAGAAGATTTTTTTTTAGTAATTCTTAACAGAACTATTAGATCCAAAGAAAATTATTCCTTCCCTTTCAGACCCCACAAAGAAAACAGCCTGTCACCTATTTCTATTTAGCTGTCAGGGGAAGTATTTGGCTGGCAGTCACTCTTTGTCAGCTCAGAGGAGGAATTCTGACACCTAAAATGACAATTAGTTGAACTGGAATCGTTCACCCATGAAAGTGATTCACACCTTTATTCCACTTTGGCATCGAGTTTATTACAACCAAATTTACTATGAAATTCAAACTAATTAATGTCAGTATTTCTTGAAAAGAATTTCAAAATTATTAAACCTTAAATGAAGAAAGCAGGGTCCCATTTATGGCAGCCTGGCCAGAGACCAAGTTCACATCAGAGGTCTGAAGAGTGTAACTCTCGTACATTTCACATCAGATTGGTTCTGTTCTGCTTTAAGGAAAAATCCTAAAAATTACCTTGAGATTATAACACGACTTTTGCCAAAAAGTTCTTCACTGGGGGATGCACAGGAGCATTTTACATCAATTATCATTAGATTGAGGATAGTTCTGTGCAGCACAACCCTCATCCCTTCCATCTGATGTTTCAGGTAGACAGAAAAAAAACTACAAAACCACTAACTAAAAGTTAGAGACTTATAAAACATTAAAAGCAATATGGCAAATAAGACACAAAATTGCTTGATCTGGGAATTCACTCTCGGAGGTTATTTCTTTCAGTAAAGACAATATGCTTTAACTTCATGTTGTCCTATATCACAACTCTAAAAGAATAATAGGCAAGGAAGACACAAGAAAATAATCTCTGTCACAAAATCTTTTTTTTTCTGAACTAGTTTAAGCAGTATCTCAAATTATACCCCTGCATTTAGAAGCAGGAAACACCCTAAATAAACCAAAGCAAGTAAACACCAACATATTATCTAAAGAGGATAATCTTTAGCTTCTACCTTATTTCACCAGATAAGAAATTCTGCATTCCTGAGACCCTGACAGTACAACAGACCAAAAAGAGAAGTTTTACTTTAGTTACCTATGGTGTCAACACTCAGCTCCAGAACTTTCTACATTCCTCAAGACTGCTTAAGTACTCAAAGAAAATTGCATTAGATGAACATTGTTATTCCAGAGAATTGTAAAGATCCACACACTTCTTCATAAACAGATAAAAACCTGTCCCTAAAATCATTATTTTAATGATGCCATTTGATGCACAGCTGCAAAGTGTCCGAATGCTGTGCTGAGAATTAGCACAGTTATCACTAAACACACTCAGCCACTCGGTCATGCTGCCACTGGCAGGCAGCTGGATGGGAGAGATTCCTCAGCACTCACCCACAACCCCCTCTGCCCTAACTCAACATCTCTGTTCTCTTCTTAAAATCACTGCTCATCCACATTCCTAAAATTACCTTTGCCTTATAAATAACATTCCATAATATAAGCAGCTGAGTCTGCTGCTCCTCAAGATTAGCCATTTAATGGCATTTTCTATTTCAGACCAGAGGTCAATTCACAATTTTTTGGTTGGTCCATCTACTGTATTACACAGAGTTAGTCAAAAAGCTCTTTTCCATTTCTTTGGGGTATAGCTTCTGACTAACAGATGGAGGTTACACCATGAAATTACAGAATTTTTTTTTAATCTAGACCAGTCAAAGACGAGAGTGGAATTAATTTTGATAGCACTGATACAGGAACTAGCACTCTCATCTCATAACTTCTGTAAAAGCAAGGCTTATTTCTTCTGGCAGGTATATTTGGAAAGTTGAGCCCCATTAATATCCCAGCAGCTTCTTCAAGAAACCAAGATTATCTAGTGCCTTAGCTGGGTTTACTTAAAAAAAAAATCATTAAGAGAAATAAGCTTTATTTGAATGACACTTGTAGACTCCTCTTCTCTTCTAAAAGAAGCTATTAGATAAATAAAAAAAAAGAAATCGGGGCATTCAGTGCCAACAAAATGTCAACTAATGGCATCTAAAAGCATTTTCTCATTCTCTGCTAATGTCACCACTGTTACTAACAACAAAGTATCCAGACTACAAACAAGTGATGATTTTCATTTGCTTTTATGAATGCTTTATGCTTTTGTGTTATTATACATTCTAAGTAATTAGCACAGTCAGGGCTTTTATACCTTTGAAATTAAAGCACCTACTCAGTGCCAGATCTAGGCGCCTGCCTTGGACACACAAAGCCACAATATATTTAAAGATATTATTACATCTTGCACACAGAACTTTTAAACTGTGGCAAATCAAACATATTTGTAACTTTGGGCAGGTCAGACACCATCTCCTGGATGACTACCTGGCTCAGATAGCATTCTTACCTGGGTAACTGCTAAGTTTCTCCAAAAAAATTCATCAAAATTATCAAAACTGAAAAGTGTATCTGGTACATTTTTAAAAAACCTTCAAATTCACAGCCAACAGTATCAATCTCAGCATCACACACACAGACTGTGTAAGAGAAGATGCAGGTTTCCAAAGAACTTCCAGGAATGAATCCTGCTTTAAGCCACTTCCTCGGAGCAAAACCAAATTCCTGCTCATTAAACTGTATTACTACATAACAAAAATTGCATGCCTGATTCCATCTGCTTCTTGTTGCTCCATCAATCCACAAACTTCTACTTACTGTTTCTATCAAAAACACCATCTTGAGCTGACCTTTTTGTAACTTAAAAATCTTACTCTTTCTGCTCCCGCCTCTTTTTCTTCTTTTTTAATGGCTAATGCCTCAGGGCCTCCAAATGCAAGTTGCTGCCTTCAGGAAGATTGCCCACAAAGCACTGAGGATTCTGCACTAGAAACAGTGTTACACTTAACTTGTTTCTATTCCCCTCTTCAAGGGTACTCCCTTCTCAATAAATCATGAGTTCCACAAGCAAAGCAGTACCTCAAGCCATGCACACAACTCAGTGTCTCTCATCAGCAAATGAACAGGAAGGGATTGGACTCATAAAAAAACCTGTAATTTAAAACATGTTATAAATGTCTCAACTCAACTGCAAAATGATATCTCAATGTGAGTAAAATCAGCTGCTGCTCTTTATGTTCTTGCTGCAAAGCTCATGCTTCCACATCCCATTTGGCTTTGGTGGATGATCAAGAATAAAAAAGAATACCTACAAAAACTAAAAAAATCCTAATGAAATAGATTTCAGTGGTTCAAGTAAGTAGTAACTCCCAAAACAACACTCTTAAATAGCCACTTGTCTTAAAAACACACTGTAAAAAGTACACTTGACTTATCTGAGAAAAGAAATTACACAACTTCCTAACAAAAAGTAACTACAGGTAATTTAAACATTTTGGTAAATGGACACTAGTTGTAACTGAATTCAAAATTCCTTTCTAAGGATAGAGGACCAAAGGGACATGTTAAAAAAAAAAACTGGTTTATCTGTGAATTCTTTTTTGAACCACATTCAATTCAACATACTACAAAAGAACAGGAAAAACAGCTTTATTGATGTCTCCAGCCATTACATATTTTGTTTAAAGCAATGTCATTTAATTTAAGCTATTCCAATTGCCCAGAGCATTCACTAGTTTCTTCAGTTCTTTCAAAATCTTTGTTCCAGTTCTCCAAGTCCCATGTGCTCCAAGTGCCCTATAATCTCTAGGGTCTCAGAGTGAAGTGTTTTCCTTGTGGGCAGGACTGGTTACTGAAGCAGACAGCAGAAGCTGCAGAAGTTTGTCATGATGAGAGATTTTCAGTGCATGGGATGGCTGATACGCAGCTGTGAGTCTCCTCAAAGAGTGGATGCTTCAGAACTGCCCTTCACCAAGCAAATGCCACAGAAGCACAAATCAGCTGGCTGATGCAGGATGATGTGGACAAGTTCTGCCCATAATCACTTAACAGGAAAAGGGATCAGGAAATAACATCATTTTCCAAATCAAAGAACAGTCAGCTATACTCAAGAGATGCCCAAGAGGAAACAGCAACACAGAAGAGCAAGTAGCAAGCAAGTAGTGTCTCCAGTCTACCTCAAACCAGAATGAAAAATAAATAAATAGCTTTTATTTACATCAGAGGATAGAAATATGTATTGACAATCTGTTGATTGCTTTTAAGATTAGGAAAGACATTGTACACTTGCCAAAGTTTGCTGACCTGAGCACCTCAGAGAAGTAAAAGCACAGAACAATATCATCAACAAATTTTTCAAGTTTTTGGAGTGCACTGTTGCATGAAACGTATCATTTTCACAAGTAACTTCAAACAAAGAGTTATCCAGACAAAATACAATAATTTATCAATGAAAGTATCCACCATCACACATGGTCTGCATCTAACCAGCAGAGGTCTCTGCAGAGACCAAGCACTCTTACCTCAGCGTTTGGCTGTAGTGCCTGTGCATCCTGGGCTGCAGATGGTACTATGGTACTTGCCCAGGTTATGTTGGCACTAGCAGATGATAAGGAGCTGAGGGCACCGTTTTTCAGTTCCTCTGTGGAGTGTGACTTGGGGCCAGGCCATCCCAGGATACCATCTGAAGCAGAAAACAGGTATCAGCTTACAAAAGAAAGATTACAGATTTCCTCCATTCACCTCACCATTCTACTCATATAAATGAGTTGTATCTCTTCTCTGCTTCCATGTACAGCTTTATTTCAGTAAAAAATTATCTTGTACTTTCTGAACTAGCTTATACAGTATCTCAAATGATATCCCTGCCTTTGGAAGCAAGAAACACCCTAAATAACCAGAGGAAGCATCTTATAGGCAAACTTATATGTGATATTTTTTTTAAGTCAATGAATGTTAGCCCTACCACCTGAATGTATGATTCTCTCTGGCATACCTTGGAAATTAAGCAAGAATTCTCTACCCACTATTTTCATAGCTATGAAGTTATCCAACTAAACCCTCCATTTCTTCTGCCTGAAATCAAAGTTTTAAGCCTAGCAGCTGTATTTTATTTCTGCCTGTACTACTAAAAGTTTCTTCTAAAATGCTTTACTGGTACCAAGACCACAGTTTAAAAGAGGTCTCATTAGAAAGATACACATTAAATATGAATCAAACGAAACTTGGCATCAGAACAACCCTTATTTCTGGGGGCACTTGATTGCCTGGATGGGTCTGTATTTAAGGATGCCATGACAGAAAGTACAATCAGCTAAGGCAAGTGCACAGCTGCTCCTCCCTAAGTGCTCTAAAACATTGTCTCAACAGTCAAATTACTAGCCCTCAGCACAGGACTTAAAATTTCAGCCATTAATTACATACTGCTGTAAAATATAGACATATGGATAAGAAAATCACAGCTCTTCACTCATTACCATAATTTATATATGAATATACAATTAGTGCCACAGGGAGGATTTCCTCTCGGCACTGACAAATTTTTAAGGTGATGCAGAGCAACACAAAGTACATTAAAGAACATGCACTTTCTCCTCTCCACATGACCAGAGTTACCAGAGATTGCCTCCTAAGTGAAGTAAATGCTTAGATCTGGAGAGGCTATGCTGCATAGTGTTACAGCAGCACTTCCTTTACTAAAAAATGGGCCACAAATCCCATAGCTGACTGAACTCTTACCAAATGCTAGAGACAAAACAGTTTCCGAACATTCCTCTCATCTAAAACAGCACTAAGTTATGAAGACATGGCAGGAGTTCAGATCTACTTTGCTTACAGTGCTTTTGTGGCGCCATCTTTTGCTGAAGAAATTGTCAGGAAAGCATAAGCAAGTAGCTTAAAAACAATGATTTTCAAAGATCTGAGTAACCAACAGGAAAAAAAATCCAGCTTTCTTTTAAAATTGTATTTCATACATTTACACAAAATTCCTCTTGCCAAAGGAAGAACATTTCTGTGGCTCTGCTGTCAAATTATTTCTGAGTCTTCATTATTTTGCAATAACACATCTCGATCTAGTTTTCTGTTTCTCTCTGTCAAAGAAGCTGAATAATGGATTACTGTTGCTATTTTCCTATTACAGAGACACTAAAAAAAAATTGAACCTACATCTCTTTATGCCAATCTTTAAAAATATGTCATCCCATCATTTCCTTGGGCTATCCATTTTCTCTCTGCACAAACAATCTATTTGGCCTTCACTGTAAACAGTAATTTTTGATTTTTTTAAATCTAGTTTATGTAAATAAGCACAATAAAAAACTCCCACATGAAGTACCTCACTTCAAGGGAAATTTTAAAGTGTGAACATTTACTTCTTCATCACAAACATATTTTTAAAAGAACTATACTAGTTTTCCTCTTCAGTGCAAACACATTGTAAAAAGACCTTTGTACTTCTCTGCACATTTTACAGTCTCTTGGAGAAATAGAAACTGTTAAAACTAGGCAAGCATGTTTTCTCTCCTGTATCAAGGGCAATGCTACCCTCAAAAAAGAACAAATCTTGTCAGCCTAATCAAATTTTAAACAGATCTTAAAAATACATTATGACCACGCCAACACCAACAGGATGCCAAGAGTTACAGTCCAAAAGATATTAAAGCACATTAATTTCCTCAACACTTTTGCATATAAGAAAAATTGTTTCGTTAAACTGTGCATCTGGAATAAGAGTACTTTGCCAAAGAGAAATATGCAGGGAAAGATATTAAGTCATACAGCACAGAAATCTAAACAAATAAAGAGTATCTCTCCGAATAAATTGAAAAAAAATTCCCACCTTTCAGAATGCCATTAGGGAACCTGTGATGACCTTGAATCTACAAATCTTACTCTGAGATATCAGCATTCTCACATCATCCCAAGGGACTTGCCATGTATCTAATACAGCAGCTCATGTTTCAGGCAAAAACAATCTCTGATAAGAGAACTCATCAGAAATTATCTTAAAATCAGCTCAGACTAGAATACAATCTCTATGTAGAAAGTGAAAGGCCACAACAATATGGCTCCTACTTTACTCATATTATCAGTATTCCAAAACTTTTCAGGACAGTTTTTCAGGGTTTTCTTCAGTTTTTTGTATACCCAAAATGTTCTCATCTGCACTACTACAAATTACTCTTATCACAAAATAGTATAGGTATAGCTGTTGTCTGTGCCATATCTAATCCAGTTGTTTTACTGGAATTTACTCTCCACAGATAGAGCTGCCATCTGTAAATCATTTGATCTACTCTAATGGAGACACCACATCTTTGCCACTTTATGGGACTGCAAAATTTCTGTCACTAGTTCAACCCTTGTTCTTATAAACACTTTAAATATATAAATAAATAAATAAATATAAAAATTAAACATAAAGTTTATCTTCTGAGTTTATAAGAATAGGAAAAAACCGGTGTAATTGGTTTGGGTTTTCTTAAGCCAGATTTTTTCTCTGTTCTCAGTCACAGCCAAAGACAGCTGACAGAAAGGTAAATTCTAATCTATTTTGATACATTGCAGAACTCTAAGGAATTCTCCAGAAAGGCAGTCACAAATTATATAAAAGTATTGACAGCTTCATAACTACTTTACTACTTGCTTTAAGACTATGCCAAGCACTACACTAATTAAAACAAAACATCTGTTTCTGCAGTAAATGATGCAAAAAGTAGAAAGGACGTACCAAATACACAACTAGTAAAATCAGCTAGATCTCTTCTATCTGCACTGTGTCAGTTCTGTAGTTCCAGGAGTAAAAACCCAAGTCTGATTCCTCTGAAACTTCAGAGCATATGTATACACAAAACAGGAGTTCTTCTAGAACATAACCAAAAATTAGCTTCCTTCCCACTTCCCCTCAACAGCAGCTTCCACTGTGATGAATGTGCAGCAGACAAGTACAGCAAGGCACATGAGAACATCTGTACCTAAGCAAAGCACAGCATCCAGACACAACCAATTTATCCTTTCCCTACAGCAATGCTGCAGTTCACAAACACCTATTTTAGAGGGCACAAGAGGTTGTATCACACAAATGCCCTCAGGAGAAACATCTTTCCCTTCTACAGGTGCACACTGCAGGAGTGGAGGGAGATCTCTCCAAACAGGTTTGCAGGAGATTTTTTAGTTAAGCAATGTTGATCATTTTCTTTTGTTGGTTTCGATTTTCTGGGTACCTGATGTACCTTCAAACTCACTTTTGCATGATAATTGATGCATGAAATATGCTTAACATATTTCAAATCTGTAACAAAAACGTTTCTAATTTGAAGTCCTCTGGTCTTGCCTGGGAGACTACAAACAAAAACCCTGCCTTTTTTCCCTGGCACAATTGTAAACTAACATTTATTTATAACATTTTCATGACATATTTTAAATATCTCATGAGTAAATATACTCCAACAAATATCCCCTAACAGTGCAGTGGAAGGCCTTGAGGAGAAACCAATATTAGACTTGGATTCCTTCCCCTGCCAGGGATGGATGTGACAGCTTGGTCTCTCTGCTGAATCCCTACAGCACACTGAACCAGCAACAACAAATGGCAGCTGCACATCTGCTTTTCACATGAGATTGCATTTGCTAATGCTGTGTGGAGACTAGAAAATAATGTTATCTTCCAATGAAAGAAGAACATGTAAGGAATAATGTATTAGCCTTTAAACAGAACAGCAAAGTGTTCTGGTTATTCTTGACAGAAGCAAGGCTGGGGATGGTGCAATTAAGGGAAAACAGACTGACCAAGCCAACTTAATAAAGTACACCAGTAACAAAGAATTTGTACTCCTGGTTTCTTTCCTCACTCTTCCCTCTCCATATGCATTTAAGCACCAACAAGGACTTACTTTTCTAGTCATTTTTCTCTCTTGTCATCAGCTGCAAGAGAATTCCTAGCAGTCATGTGTCAACAAATTGAAAGCATCTAGATTTTGTCCTTCCTATCCATTTATCTTCTCCAAATGGGAGACAATAGAGAATAAAAAGCTCAACTATATCCTGCCCTCAACTCCAGAATAATCTCTGATCCATTTGTTTCCATGGGACCCAAAATCAGCAGCATTTGCACATTAAAGTGAACTGCAGAAAATACATAGTAAGGATGAGTTTGGTTTTTGTTTTTAAAACATCTTAAGAAAAATTAAATGTTCTACAGTTTGGAAAAGTGGGCAAGGGAGAGATAGAAAAATATAGGAGGGAATTCCTATTGGAAAGATGCTTTATTCAGTAATGAATGGCCAAAGTGAAATGCAGATTAAACGAACAGTTCGATCTGTGCGGGCTGCTACTACAGAAGAGGATTCTGTCCGCCAAAACACCAGAATAAATTTAAAAAAAACCCCAGATCTAAAACACAACATACGCTGGTAGAGCAAAATTAAAACAAACATTCAAGTTTGCTCTGTTCACAGTCAGGGAGAGAAGAATGTTAACAATTGCAGTCAACAGGCTTCTGGAGATACTCCTCTGCCAAATGCTGTAAAGAGAGCTGGAAAAAAATAACACTAGAACTTCTAAAGTTAGAAATGAAGACAAAAGTTTCTTCTCCACATTTTTATTTTCAAAGGTGCCTGCTCCTTGTCTGCACGCCAAATAAACTCAAACCTGTCAGAAGCACTTTTGATGTACCTAAGTGGCGACATTCCCAGCCAAAAAGAAAGGCCTTGACATTTTCCACCATCCTACAAAAAAAAAATGTAATGTCCAAACACAAAGAAGCTTGTAAAGATACAATCTCTCATCCTCAATTCGCACTATATATAACCAACACTATCAGCTAATAATACCCTTCTCTAGCATATTTTTCAATGAAAGAAAATAAAAATTACAAAAACTTAGCCAGTGATCAATGCACATACCTTTGATAATGGCAGCTAGAAATTATTTTTGCATTAATTTTGCTTAAAAGTAGAAACACAGACAGGATTTTGCTTCACTGACTGTTCTTGTTGATTTACTTCCAAAATAGACAATCACAAAAACCCTTCCATAAAGCTTCAGAGTAGAAATAAAAAAAATCATTGACTAGCTTTCAAGACAAGATTGAAGACTTCAGTTTAATCTTCATGTCCGCTTGTAGGCTTGAGGTCTTAGACTGATCATTCGTGAGAAACATGAAATGGAAAAATCATGTCATCCTTAACCTATTCCATTAGAAAGGATGCCATAAAAATATTTTAAGTCACGACCAAGATAATTTTAAATTCTGGACAAGATTCCACTAAAGTGAATGCTGATTTCTTTGTACTCTAATTACTGGAAAACAAAGCAACAAAAATATTTACATCAAAAGAGAGAAGACACTTTTTTTTCTTGTCTAAAACAATAAATGTCAATGTCTGTTTAAAATAGTAACTGTTTCTTTATAATCTTCATGAGAGCATTCCATAAGTGCTAGGTCAGAAACTCTCAGCCACTTTTAAGTCTTTGCTTTAGAGGCAGTAAGACTGCAAGACCTCCAGGGAAGTCACAAAACTTGCACAATCGAGTATAAAGACCTCAAGGACACAAGGAAAGGTATAGATTAAGTAGATATGTATCTACTTTTAAGGCAATTCTCTCTCTTTATGGCATAATAGTGAAAGCTTTGGATGCTGAAGGGAAGCAAACTCAGGGGTAGGTTCAAGTTACCCAGGCTAAGCAATTGAGTATTTCTCACACTCACACAAGGAAGACTGTTGCCTGCCTGGACTGGGTTGTTTTCATGAACTGTAGGCTAGAAGCAAGAAAATAAATTATCAAATTCCTACCTTGTCTCTATCTATGCATTCTGCCCCACAATGCCCACTAGCATCTTTACACCACACAGCAGGTAATGAGACAGCACTGGGAGGGAAGCATTCAGCAATAAATTGCACAGGACATCTCACAAGCAAGGTGTTTGAGAATTCCTACCACAGAAGCACATGGTTTTTAAACTAACCAGAGTCATTTTCACCTGACAGTGACAGAAAAGGTCACCTTCTATTGTACCTGCTGGGTATAAAATTAAAAGAATTCACCTGGAGGACACAATCAAAATGAACTAGATCATCTCTCAGAATTAGTTTGCTAGGGGATTACTTAAAGGCTTTATTCTGAATAGGTATGAGCTTATGCAGCTTTGATGACTCTGAAACTCTATCGACTCAGCACAAACATTAAGTTTATCAAAGTAGGCCTGGAAAGATTAAGTGTGTAGGAAAATCAGTAATCAAGACTTGTAGGCCAGGTTCTTTCAGGCAACTGTGTTGCATAATAAGGCCTAGGGAAAAAAAATCATTTCAGGCAGAGAGAAGAGACTAAATATTTCAGCAGCTTTTAGTTCCCTTCTTAGTTGTTTTTTTTTTTTTTACTTCCATACCAAAGAATAAACCACACACTGAAGAATTAACTGCTTGCATTCAAGTTCTCACAGTTACACCAAAGATGCTGGTGTGAACCAGTGCTACAGAATTTTGATTCCTGAAAGGATTCCCATGCAAGTTTACAGTCTTAGGAAGAACAAATAAAACAATTACTAAATTTTATAATTCAGTATTTCATAGTCATGACTTTCCTTTAAAAAAAAAAAAAGTGATTCCTTTTAAACAATTACTAATGCTTTGCTTGCTTTTCTCTCTTCCTGTCCATAGATCCTCAAAAACCATTATCAAGTCAAAACAAGACTGATTTAACAGAAGATTATGTGGACACAGAGTCAAGGACATGTACACCTCAAGGCATCCATCTCTTGACAGTTCACTAAGATCACATCAAGATGAAAAACAACCTTCAGGGACCTTGCAGCTAGAAGGTAACTTTTCTTCGAAGGATGCTTTTCATCTGTGTTTCAAACCATAATTTTCTGAAATAAAGTTATATCAAATAATTTAATTTAATGCACTTTATCAGTACTACTTAGGTAAGTGCAAGGGAGGTTTGCATTTTCTACAAGAAAATGGCAATTTTTTAAAACTCATGCTCCTTTATGAAACCAATCAGCTTCTGGATATGGGAAAGTCAGCACATACCATAGGACAGGTGTCAAAAGGTTTAATATTGTTTTTTCCAAGAACCACTTTTGTATCATTTTCCTGCTTCCCAACTAACCCTCTCCCATTTCTATTCTCCTCACAATGGGAATGATTCATAGCACTCCCTCTGTGCCGTCTCAGCAGCCTTGAGGGCATGTCCTGCCCTGCAGTGAACCTACTGCAAGTAAGGGCAGGTTGAGGGGGATTGTTTCGGAAGCACCCAAAGAAAACACAAAAAGCCACCCCTTATCCAGAGTTCTGCTGCTGCTGCTTCTCTTACATCAACACTTCCTCTTGCTCTTAAGACTTGGCAATGCAGTTTATGCATGGGAAATGCTAACCACCCTTCTAGACAGCTCCAAGTCCAACTTCCAATATTATGGACAGATCCAGAACTGGGTGAACTGGAAAAACTGAGGTACATAGAGACTGAGAGCTCTGCTCATGCCTGCAGAGCTCACTGTAGTATCACACTGACATTTTATGCTCATAAAACTTGCCATGTTTCTTCTTTTCTTAAAGCATGGAGAACTCTTTCCAAACTCAAAGAAAACCACAGACCAAAATAAATCCACCTCAGCAGCATCCTTCCATGTAGAAAACTATAAATATTATTTTCACTGTAGCACTGCATAGAATTATTTTTATCAAACAAATCTGTACTGAGATTGAAATCTATTAAAGAAGAAAAAAAAAGGAGGGGGAGCAAACCAAAACAATCAAGCTGGTTCCACACTGCCATTGCCACTGGTTCCACACCACCATTAAGAATGTAGGTTTATATATACCTTTTCCCCACGCCCCATTTTTTTTGTGTAGCTGTCTTCAGGACCAATTTATCTGAGAAAACTCAGGACAGACCACCTCTTTTTCTCCTCTCTTCTGACTGCAATCCATTTTGCATCTTTTTTTTAGGTAAAGAATTACAGTCTTTGAGGCTGCAGAAGCTCACAAGCAGCTCATCCCAACTTGCCTCTCTGAGAATGGTTCATTTTTCCTGCTTCATATCATAATAAAACACTCCAAAGTACATGAAACAATACCCAAGGGAGCCTGTGCTCACCTGATGGCAGTGTCCTGTTATGCTGTTGGCCCACTTGATGCATGCTTTGCTGTAGGAGATTCAGGCATTCTCCAAGGCAGCTCAGGGTGGCAGCAGAGGTAGCTTTTAAAAGTAGCAAGTCCTGATCCAAGGCAGTAAGAGGTCCAGAATTTGGGAGAGATTCAATGGCTTGTACAAGATTCTTCTGCTGTCCTTCAGCTTGGCTCATGACCTGTAAAGTTTCAAAAACATCTGCTGTCATAGGAAATATCAGTATGTAGCTGTTAAATTCTTATGGATTGAAATAGTGATTAAATGTGAAGAACTACCACAAATGGATGTTAATGTTCTGATCCAAACATACCATATACTCACCTACAAAAACGAAGGGCTTGAGACTACCAAAGGCCTGTAAAAATGTCAAGACTATGTTAGAGAAAACAGTCTCTTCAAATAGTAGGTTCACAGTAGGTTTAATAGTGACTCATACTTTCTGCAAGTCTTTGTAAGGAAAAGCATGAAAATTCTACTTCCTTCTCCATTATTGATTTAGGCTTAGATTTTCTTGCCTTTGTATGTGATCTGAGATGCCCAAAGAAGTGACACTGTCCCTCCTCCTTTCCTACATAAGTATCTCATCACAGTTTAAGAACAGGCATTACCCATTTCTCAGACTAAAGACCCGTTTTCACAAAATGCAGTAATTTTTAACTTCACAGACATCAGCATAGGAAGCAACTTAGAGTACTTATTTCATATCCAATATGAATACAAGCTGTCAGGCAGAAAGTTAACCTCTTTCTAGGTTTGGACCATCCAGATGAAGATGAAAGGGGTGCTTGTATAGCAGGCAAAAATACAGCAGTATTTGAGCAGGCTGCTCTTTAAGCAAATTGGCAAGCTTTCAAAATCCTAAAGCCAAAAGAAAAAGAATATATTCAAAATTTCTCTCTCCATTTTTGCAGCCTGTAGGAAATCATATATGCATATGACAAGCCTCTTCCACTTACCTTGCAAAAAACTTGCTGCAAAAATTTACAAGTCTACACTTGAGATATCCAAAGTTTTCAGAAAAATCTATCTGAAGACATCATAATAAACAAAGATTCAAGTTCCATTTGTCCACACTACTGTACTGTAAAAATGTATTATAAACTTCATGGGGTTTTTATTATCATTATTATATTTTCAAGTATTGTGTGTTTCCTGCAGCCCTCCTACATTATTGTAAATTGACTGATTAAAAAATTTATGTTGAGTGCGCTGAAAAGCTAGAAAGGAACTGAACTCAGAGATGAAATAACCACTCTTGCAAAAAAAGACTAGAATTACACAAGATGATGATGTTGCAGTTCATAAATTTAGCCAAATGCCTTGCTGAAGGTTAACATGACATTTTAATAATCAACATTTAAAACAGAGGCCAAAACTTCAGTAAAAGCCACAGACAATTTTAATTCCCTTTGGCAGAAAACAAGACCTGTCAGAAGGTGACACAGACCTCTCCAATATTCAGCTTTAGGGAACCACAGAATCAATCCCAGGCAATGCAATATTCCTCCTTCATGGAAAGAGCACTAGGAGGCAAACAGAAGGAACAGCCAGGAGAAAAAAAGATGACCATCTCCCTGGAAGACTAAACAATACAATTGTATGGAAAACTGCTCCTCTCCTTTTCCTATCCTGCAGAAGAGTGTGAAATTGAAAACCTGACTTTCTCATACTTCACAGTGACAGAAATGTTCTATTTTCATTTCCAAGTGACTATTTTCCTACTTTTTTTTTCTTCTCTTCTTTTTTTTTTTTTTGGGGGGGGGGGGGGGGAATGACAGCTTACAAATCCAAGATTTGGTTCCATAAAAACATAAAATTTTGAAAACTTCAAACATTTTAATTTTCCCCTCCTCCTTAACAAAGGACTCATTCGCAGATTAGACAGGAGCATAAGATAAACTGATCAGGGAGTTTAGAAAACATTTGGAAAATTAACTGAATGTTTGCAGCTATCAGCCAGCCCAGAAGTTTACAGGCTTTTGTCAGTTGTATTCTTCCTAGATTAGGAGAAATTTCAATAAAATCTAAGACTTATTCTACCTTTGTCCAAAACAAGGTGTTGGTCCAAGTCTTACTGTTTTCTAGCTGACCTAAGACAGATTTACAGCAGTCTTTTGATTCAGCTTTTACTTGCTACCTAGTTGTGATACCAGCAGCTGGTCTACAGACCTGACACAGCAGAAGACATTTGGAACTGCAACTTCTGTGTAGGATTCAAAGTACTAGAACTTGCTGAACTTTGACTGCTCAAACACCGATCAAAACCACACTGCTTAAGGTGTTGAATGCCCAGAACAAAGATGCAGAACCCCTCCCTATTGTAAAGTGACAGATAAACTCAATGGCAAAAAGCATAAGGAAATTACATATATTATTGAAATGACTGAACTTTTTTTATATGTTTGCCAAATTTTTTTAAAGACCTTGACAAAAAATTTCAGAAGAGCTGAAGTGTAGTTGTTCTACAGAGAGCAAATCAAGGAGGAGCTAGCACAAAAATGCCAAACCATACAGGATGAAACTCATTAAACACAGTAACCCTTAACAGGACAGCCACTAAGTCATGCAGTTATAGCATCATCCTCTGTCTTACTGGTGGGTCTGTTTTTTGCTTTCTCCCAAGAGAGGAGAGGCAAAATGCTTGACTTACTAGCACTCTAAGCTTGTTTCAAAATTAAAAGCTTTGATTTTGAAAAAGGGAAGTTTCTAACTTTCCTTTCACAAAGTGAAATAACTTGCCTAATTTTGAATGACTTTGCTCTTACATGGGGTTATTTCAGCACCTTACAATTCTCCATCCTTCCCATCTGCAAATACAGACAGCTCAAAGTAGTAGTTCTCTACTTATAACAACAACAAAGGGTATTTTCCCCTGACTCCTCAACAAATATTAACCTATTTCTCTTTCCACTACTTTTTGGATTTGACAACTCCACCTATATATTCTTCTCATCATATCACAAAATAATTTCACATTCTCAGAAAAGCACTGAAACTTCAAACATAGAACTTCATGATAGATGTACAATACAAAAACTGAAAGAACCACCAGAACTATATGTATTAAAAGGAATTACATGTGTGCAAATATCTAGAATTATAAAGTCTGCATTTACTTAACTGCAAAATGTTCAGTAAGAGGAAACCCCATCCTAGGAAGACACCAGCTGAAATGCATGATTTGCTTCTTTCTCCATTTTCTGATTCAGGAGAACAAGCAGATGACAAGTGTTCCCAATTAGCAGCTGCTCCTGAAGCATGAAGGAGATTCAGACTTTTAGCCTGTCAGAAACTCTCAGGTATTGTCTGTGTTCTTGCAGTGGTTACTCAGTGCCCACTGCTTCCCCTCCGCGGCTGAACAACAAAAGGTTTGGGGGGGTCGAGATAAGAACACAGAGGTCACCCAATTACCATCACAAGTAAAACAGACTCGACTCAGGGAAATCAGTTTAATTAGTACCAATCAAAAGTAAGACAACAAGAAAATAAAACCAAATCTTACTTTTCCTCCACCCTCCCTTCTTCCCAGGCTTAACTTCATTCCCAGTTTCACTACCTCCCTTCCCCAGAGCAGCACAGGGGGACAGTTAGGGGGAGTTACAGCCTGATCATGACACATTGCCACTCCATGCTCCTTGCTCTCTCCACCTGATCCAGCATGGCAACCAGTCCTGCACAAACTGCTCCAGTGCACGTCTTTCACAGGGTCACAAGTCCTGTCAGCTTCAGCCCGAGCTTCCCCCAGGGTCACAGCCTCTTTCAGACGTCCATCTGTTCTGGCAGGGTCCTACACAGCCTGCAGGTGGATCTCTGCTCACCATGGACTCCATGGGCTGTAGGACATCCTGCTCCACCTTGGGCTGCACCACAGGCTCCAGGGAAATCCCTCCTCCAGTACCTGGAGCACCACCTTCCCCGCCTTTGTCACTGGCCTTGGTGTCTGCAGTTGCTTCTCTCACATTTTCTCACTCGTCTCTTTCTCTGCCAGCAGCAGTTTTTCCTCCCTTCTTAAATCTGGTATCCCAGAGGCTCTACCACCATGGCCAATGGGCTTGGCCAACTGCGGGTCCATCTTGGAGCCAGCTGGCCTTGGCTCTGTCAGACATGGGGAAGCTTCTGGCAGCTTCTCACAGAAGCCATGTCTGTGCCCTTCTCATGCCAAAGCCTTGCCAGGCAAAGCCAACAAATTCTCCTGAATAACACTAAACTCCAAGAAACCTGCCATCCAATGACCCTCTCATGAATGCCAGAATGCAACAGGAAAGGATGTGATGTTTTCCTCTCTAGGTCATGCCCTCCCTACCACCTGCTCCGAAACAAGACAATCCACAGCTTTGGTTGCTGCCTGCTTCCTCCTCTTCAGGGCTGATCTTAACATCTTGTGTGATCACTTCCCCTACTTAACCCAGCCCCAGCAACTGCTACCCACTCCTTCACAGCTGGAACTGCACCTCCTGCTCTGAACACACAGCCAACCACAATGCAGGAGACCAAGCACTTATGTGATGGGAATCCAAACAAATGGTAAGTAGAAATTACTAATTCTCAGGGTTATTTCCACAGTATGTGGAAGATAAGCAGAAAAAGCCATGAGATACCCTAGATTTGCAAAGAAATTTACTTCAGACATAAGAAGATGAAAGAACATTCTTTTCATGTGGTAAATAAGCTAAAATTAGTTATTAAAAATTAAATTAGGAAATAAAAATGAAAAATTGAAGTGCTATTTTCCATGCTAAAAGAAAAAATACAGGAATTGAACATTTGGATAAAATACTAGATGATACACTATTCTTTCCCATGCAGAGAAATAATTTTAAAAAACCTGAATGCCACTTTTGATTTAAGACTTAAACTGGTTTCTGAAACTAGAAAGAGAAAGGGAGAGATTCCAAATTATTAAGTACAATAACAAATAATCTCTTTTCAAGATTTTTCCTCCTGTCTGACAACAAAAATAAACAGAAGCTTCAAATGCAGAAAACTGAATAGCCACACCTAACTGCAAGAGCATATGATTGCTTTTGACATTATATTATTTTAAATGCTTTTGTTATCCAGACTCCAGGACTAACAGGCATAAGTCTGTTAGTCTAGGACAGATGTGTATGATCAGACATCTTACTTTCTAGAATTATTGATCCTCCAGGATTTTACCCAATTAACACAGTGTATCAC